GGCCCCATAATTTGTTTTTTATCCTGAATAACTAACAAATTACCTGGCAAGGTTTGGGAGTTCAGTTAATATTGGATAAATGAATAAAGGAAAATATTTCTTGGTCCTGTTAGGAATTTCGGGAGCTGCTGCAGTATCGAGATACCTCGGACAAAACCCTTGAAGCGAATGAAATGTTGCTTGAGAAACTGCGGCAGCGAATACAAGACAGAGACCTTGCTTTAGAGGTGCGTCTCCCAACTTTACTCGCGACACTGTGGGTTGTTCTACCCACATAGCTACTATAGAAATGTGTGTCTACTTAATTTGCTACTTTTAGGAGTTGGCTTTCCATTCCTTTATATTTGGAATCGTACTGAAAGAGGGCTATCCGAGCAGTGAATCTTATGGTGCTTTAGCGTGCTTGCTTCCCTTGCAGCGGGCTATCGATGAGAAGTTCTCCACTCTAGAAGAAAAAGAAAAAGAGCTCCGGCAGCTTCATCTTGCTGTGAGAGAGCGAGACCATGACCTAGAGAGGCTGCGCGGTATCCTCTCCTCCAACGAAGCTACCATGCAGGTAAGAGCAAAAGCTGTTGTGACTCGGCGTCCCTCTGCCACTTGGATCCCAAGCCGTAAGCATCAGCGTCTCCCATTGTTTTCCAAAAATCAGGGTATTTGCTTTGTAAGAAACAAAAAATACAAAAACGAACAAAAAGAGCAGTCATTAGCTTCATCATTACAGATTAGGAAGTGAGAAGTTTTAGCACTTTGATGAACTTTGTAGGGGGAGGCAGTGACTATGGATTTCTATACATAGTTCTAATTAATTTCTAGACCTCGTCAATGTCTCTATACTTTTACATAAGCATTGCCAGGGTGCAACTATTATGTTGTGGTTTTCTCATTATAGTGTTATATACCGTGTTTCCCCGAAAGTAAGACCTAACTGAAAAATAAGCCCTAGCATAATTTTTCAGGATGCTTGTAATATAAGTCCTACCCCAAACATAAGCCCCAGTTAAGATCGTCAGCCAGACATGACTGTTTGAATAAATGTAGATTTTTATACATAAATGAATAAATGTAGATTGTTAGAGCAAAAATTAATATAAGACCCGGTACATGTCCTGTCTATTTACTTTAGAGCTTATAACTCTAACCATCTGCCACTTCTTAAAGAAGTCCTTCACATCCTCTATAGCATAGCCTCCTTCCTCCAAGATACTCCATTTATCATGTACCTTATATTTATCTCTCTATAAACTACATGAGAGTGTCTAAAAACAAAAAGCAGATTAGTATGGCATTGTTAGATTAAATACTAAGTTTCCTCTTTTCGCAGAAAAGCTGATAGATCTTTTAGGAGCTAATTTAAAGGCGGTTCGGGTTTCTCGTGTATCCTGAGGCGTGTGGGGGTGGCCCTTTGACTGACATTACTTTCTTTGTGACTGTAGAGTATGGAGAGCCTCCTGAGGGCCAAAGGCCTGGAAGTGGAACAGTTATCTGCTACCTGTCAGAACCTCCAGTGGTTGAAAGAAGAAATGGAAACCAAATTTAGCCACTGGCAGAAGGAACAAGAAAGTATCATTCAGCAGTTACAGACATCTCTGCATGACAGGAACAAAGAAGTAGAGGCAAGGCTTTTAGTTCACTTCAAAGCAATCGGTTTCATGATTACATTATCTCAGCCTTGGATTTGGACTCTGGAAGGCTGGGAGGCCAGTGACCCAAGTCTGATTACGTTCTATGCCTACACAATCACTGGCTTGCACTGGGACGTTGGTCCCTGCACCTGTAAACGCAAGGAGGCGGTTACCTCTCTCAGGGAAGTGATGTGAGAATTGATGACATCTAAAAAAAATGCCCCTGCAATATGACAGCTCACCTTTAGGAGATATGGTGTCATGCTGTGTTGGCACCATTTTCAGAGCTTAATGGACATTAACTCCTTGAGTGCTCACAAGTCTGTGAGGCACATACTTTTATCCCTCTTTTACAGATAAGAAAACAGACTTTTAAAGTGAAGTAACTTGTGCAAAGTAACATAGATAAGAGTAGCAAATCCAGTGTGTAGCTCAACTTGTGCGGCTCCCCAGTTGTTGTTGTTTTTTTAAATTAAATGTATTGGGGTGGCATTGGTTAGTAATATTATATAGATTTCAAGTGTACAATCCTGTAATACATCTATATATCAAATTGTGTGCTCACCATGCAGAGTCCGTTCTCCTTCTGTCACCATATATTTGACTGGCTCCCGGTTTTAATCAGCATGTACCACTTCTCAGTGTAGAAACGGGAACTGCATCACCATGCTAATAAATATAGTGCGCATTATTCTTTTTCAGCTCATTGTTTTGTGTTCTGCCTGTAAAGTTACACTGTGGAGAAAGTAAATGAACTGAGTATCCATTTATCCTCATTTAATCTTAATTACTATGTGCCCTGAGCAAATAGCGAAAGGACTTATTTCAGAAAACAATGTGTAAGTTGCCATCAGAAGTATTTTTCTGTATTGTTAGTGTTCGTTCACTGAGCACGTATTTACAGCCTTCTGTGTGCCAGGCCTGTGCTAGACATAGGTCCAGGAAACAAAACTAAATAATGTGTGACACTTGCTTGTCAGAATCTCACAGCTCCTTCTTCTAGGATAGATTCTCATAAGCCCTCCGATCCGTAGTAAAGGGGATCCTTTCCTCCACACCTTACGCGGTTTCTTCTGTCTTAGGATCTCAGTGCAACGTTGCTCTGCAAACTCGGACCTGGGCAGAGTGAGGTAGCCGAGGAACTGTGCCAGCGTCTGCAGCGCAAGGAAAGGATGCTGCAGGACCTTCTGAGTGATCGAAACAAACAAGCAGTGGAACATGAAATGGAGATTCAGGGCCTGCTTCAGTCCATGGGCGCCAGGGAGCAGGAGAGCCAGGTAAGGACGAACCCACAGACCAGAGGAGGTTCACTTAGTGCATTTGTACTTTGCACGTAGGAAGCATTGACCCTCATAATGTGTGTATTGCTGTCATTTTACAGCCCATTCTGCTAGGCTTTTTCCCTTCCATCTATTAAGTAGACTACAGCTTTACATCAATCGTCAAAGTATGAAATATTTTTAGAATACTTTGCATTTGAAAGGTTGCCTACACCATACTACCCCACCCATGAACTTCATTATGGACATTTTCTTTCCCTTTCAAACATTCTGATAACACAGTCTGTAATTCTGTGCCGTGGCCCTCATATTTCTTCTGCATCGTAGCTGAACGTACAACTAGCTGCACAGGGAGGCAGAAGGGGAAGAGATTCTGGAAGGCTGAGAGGCCTCTTCTAAGAAAACTGATGAAAACTCTATTGCTAGAAACAGAGCATAAGGACGGGGAAAACTATCTGTTTCAGGAAATGACTTCTTGGAAAGCATTCTGAGTCACAAAAGACCTGAGTTTAAATCTTAGCTTTGGCACTTCTCAGTGATATGACTGTTCCCCACCTCCATGTTTTTAAAAAATCAGTGTTTCATCTTCTTTCTGTAAAATAGGGCCCATACCACATACTCTGCATAGAGTTGTGAGTATTAGTGCTAATTTAAGTACCCAGTACAATGCATTGCCTCTGCCGAGTACTCAGTAGACATTACTGATTATTCTCAAATCTCTCTTGTTCC